AAGGCAGCGTGGCTCAGTCAGAGCGGAGCCAGGTAACTGAGGAACGCTGCGTCCAATTTGCAACAGCTTCCCTCCAAGAAACCGTGACTCACTGCAAATTTTTTTTTTTTTTTTTTTTAAATGAAGATTGCTTTCTTTTTGTCATGATACAGTCACTTGAGGCCCTGCAGGTTTGGTCTTTTGGAAAAAGGTGGTGAGTGAATCTCTAAAGCAGAAGGTTAAGACGTGTTAGAGGAACCCAGATCCAATGTTGTCAAGCATCTGCTAAGCTGTCTAAGTATCTCTGAGCAAGAAAATAAATGTTCTTGACCTTGAGCTGCGAGAGGCTTTTCCTACTGAAATCACTTCAGACATTTACATTATTTAAAGATTTTTTTTTTTTGTGACCTTTTGCTTCCCATTCCTTTGATTTTAATTATCCATTCTTTCCAACAAAGGCAGAAAGTCAGAAAGTTTCCAGGCTCTCATTTTATGCCAAATTTTGAGCCTGTTTATTTTTGAAAACCTTTGAAGTATAACATGAAAAATACAAATATGGCACTTTGAATAATATTCACATTTCTCTATTTTCTCATTTGTCTGGTCCATTCTAGTTAGTTTAGTTAGTTAGCTGAGATGGCAGTTACTCACACTGTGCTAAGCTAAGCTAGCTACCTTTTACTGGAACTGGCCATGACTGTTTTATGTTTCATGTATGTCAATTACGTTGGATAACAAACCGAAATACTGGAATAGAATAAGAGAACTGCATTCACATTGATGTTTTCTGACTATACTGGTCTTTAATGTTGTTTCCTAACACCAATTTTTTTTTTTTTTGTCAACAAGCGATACAGTTCTGCAGAATTTCTTACACATGCAAAGACATTATCACCTCCAAAACACAGGTAGGTGTTTAGATGCAAGTCAGTCAGTTATTATAAGATGGTCCACAGAGCAGAGACTCATCTATGAAGGAAGTCGTGTTATTCCCCAGAGTCGCTCCTCAGCTGCAGCTGCACCAACGTGTTTTGACCTAACACCCTGCTAACGTGCTACACCTGACATGTGCGCCCTTTCAGAGCGGCAGGGCCTATTCTCTGCGGACGGGAAGTTCATTTCCTCAGAGGATGGAGCCACACCTATTGAATTTTATAATGCCAAATGTTGCCTATTTCTGTTCTGTTCTTTATTTTGTTACACTGAAAAGTTTTTTTTATTTTTAGAGGTGTTTTCATGTTCTTCTGTGATATTGTAGTCAGACGTTCAGTACATGTCAAGGCATATGTGCATCAATACCTTGTACAGTTTTGTAGGTGGTGGGTGAGATCATTGGAGATCAATGACAGTGAAAACGGATGTTGCTGACACTCACGATGCACGAAGATGCATCCTCCGTTGACCTTTTTCCCTGACAGTGACTGTGAGACACACGAAGCTTTCAGAAGGTGTTAATTGAAATGTCATCACTCTTTGATACATCTCATGAGATTGCTCAGTGGATTCATAAAGCAGACATCGTAAGTTCATTTCTGTTCTCGCTTTGTCACAGCATGCAGCAGCTCAGAACGCATGGAGAAACATGAAACAACTGAACAAAGAAATGTGGTGGAAATGTGTGTTTTATGGTAAAACGAGACAAAAGAGCGAGTTGAAGACATCCATGGAAAACATGTCTACGTCCCACATGGAGGAAAATTAGATTATTGCAAAGAAAACTCCTTGCGAAAACCTTGAGTCTGCCCTCGCTGGCAGCGTTGTAACACCCAGGCTACAGTTGGTCACCGAAGGGTTAATATGTGGAGCTCCCAGGCAGAAAGGCAGAAGTAAACAAAAAGAGCCGGGGACTGGAGCTTCTCTTGCTGCTGAAGCTGAGGCGTGACCCTTGAGATAGGCACCGGGCTATCATGAGGGCGTCTCCCTGAGTGACTGGCCAGGAGAACAGAGAGGGCTTTGTCAGGGCTGTGTGCGAAAAACTGCTGACCCAAGCAGGCTCTCACTTCCCCCCCACCCCCCTCACCCCCCCCCCCGCACCCCCCATCACTCCTCCCACCACATGTTTTTTTTTTCTCTCTCTCTCTCTCTCTCTCTCTCTCCCTGAAGACACACAAATGCTCACACACACAGCAGTCCCAGGGGATGAAGCTTTCACTCCAGCTGGTGGGAGGTTAAAGAAGGGGAACACAGAGCCGGTTTTGTGGTCAGAAACGTAAAAGCCTGGATATGTTAGCATTGCATTCTGGGATGCATTTTTTAAAGCTTTAATATAAACTGCTGAAAAGAGTTTGTAACAATCTGGGTTTTCAGTTAAATCGACTACGGGGGAAGAAGCATCATCCTCAGCTGGCAACTCGTCTGCTCTTCACCTCTAAACTACGGTGGCCCTGACAGTCAAAACAACATTTCACAAAAGACAACCACATCTTGCAGAACACAACATTTTGGAAAACTCAACATTTCGCCAAACTCAACAACATTTCACAAAACTCAACAACATTTCACAAAACTCAACAACATTTCACCAAACTCAATAACATTACGGAAAAACTCAATAATATTTCACAAAAAACAATAACATTTCTGATTACAGAAAGGGTGGGACAGCAACTGTTTGTAATTGGACAGAACCCAAGACAAATTCAGAGTTTATTCAATGGGTGTGTTAAGGTGGGTTGATGTTAGACTGGATTAGCCGTGCTGAACTCTGCTGCTGTTTCGCTGACGGGTAACTGATGATGCTCTGGGCATGTGTTAAAGTTAACTAGAATGGTCAGCTAGATGGAAATCCCTCAGATGGGTAACTGGCCTGGCTTTATTGAAAAAGTTACACCTTGACAAGTCAAGTGTGCATTGTGTCTTTCAGTGTTGTGTGATTGCCAACTACAGTTTGTGCTGGATAGGCCCTCGACATCTCACGACCTTGGATGACATCAGCTGCAGGCGCCACTTTTTGAAAAGTAGCCGTCCCAATTCTTGACCTGACATTTTAATGTCATGATATGGTGAAAGCATATTGAGAATGACTTTGTATGAATGCCTTTGTGACCTTGAACCTTTGTCGCCAGGGACTTGGGTACTGTCCAATCACAACCAAGAAGTATTGTCCCACCTTTTCAATAATCTGAAATGTTGTTGTGCTTTGTGAAATGATGTTGTGTTTGGACCCTCAGGGCCACCATATTTAACCATTATGAGGTTTAAAATAACTCAAGTTTTGTGCACAACTAACTCCGTGTTTACTGGTCTGCTTGCAATTTTCACAGTGAAGTTTTGCCAAGACCACACAGAAAAACAACAACAAAAACAACAACAACAACAAAAACTGACATGTTTTTGAATAAGCCCTGCTTTATTTACTGCTCAGGCAAAATAAAAATGTTTCACATAATTATTCTGTAATTAGAAATGAGAGTGAAAACCATCTCAGTGGGTCCTTGTTCAATGTGGTGTACTGTGACTTCTGGGAATACGAACAATATGCCATTATTCTTTGAAGTAACTTGACAATCCAAAATTAGTCATTTGTCTCCTGATGTTCTCAGACAACTTGTTCTGTGCAAATTAAGGGCAGGCGGCCTGTCTGCAAGCGTTTTGTGTTGAGCGTGCTTGAACATACACCGACTCTCACTTACTTTAACACACTGTTTACAAAAGCAAAAACAACCATGTACTATCCGTGCGAGTAGTACACACAAAACACAGACAAATGCCCCAAAGGTGACAGTTGTAACTGCTTTCAACACGTTATAATATCAACTCGTATCAGCTTGCCCTGCAGCACAACACACTGCAGTGTGTTAATATCTTGATGAGGCTCAGGTCAGGCCTTCTCTGAAAACATGAATTCTCCACTTTCCTGAGGCCATGTGTTTTTACACTCCCTAACCCCACACACCTATGCTTACACTCCTCTAACCTTCCTTGCTGCCCCTGTCTACACAATACAGCTGCCTGGGGGAGATCGCTTTAGAGAAGCAGTGACAGAAGAGTGAATCACAGTTTATGTTAGGTTGCATCTCCCCATGTAAAAAAAAAAAAAAAAGAAAAAAAATAGTGCTGAGCTCCATTGTTGCCTCTGGGGCTTGTGAAATGCCTCTTTTGTTCATGCTAAATTAATTTTTTAGGAACTATGAGTGAGGCTGAACCCCTGGTGTCGAGTCAAAGAAGAGGGTTTTATTCAGTGATCTGACTCTTTGGGAATTAAAAAAGCCAGATGTGATTTTTATTGGCTGTTTATTAAAAGTAATTCAGATTACATTAGGACAATAGGTGAGAACTATTTACTTTCATTTTTACTGCTTCATTGACTTACATTCACATTCACTTTAGTATCCCAATTTTAAGTCTGATCCCAGTTTTGATCACATTTGGGACGTGACATCTTTGTGGAACAATGAGAAACCTTGTTTATTCACCTCCCTGTATACATGACCCAGGTGTCTGATTGTGCGTGATGGTGCAGGTGTCTTTGACTCTTTCACATCCTGCTAATCTGTTGTTTCTGTAATGACCCAGTTACCTCAACAACAGAGTGTTTAGTCTTTGGCTGCCCTTCACTCTGCACTCTGAATTAATTTCTCATCATGAGTATTGACATTGAAAAACTTCAATGTAACTTGAGTTACCATGGCAGAGTGTCTGGAGCTCTCTAGTTTTTCTGAGGCTAGAATATGATGTTTACATGCTCAAACACATAATTAGTCCTGGCTCGTTTTAAATGAGGGTGGGTTTTAAATGAATAGACCGGCTAGTTGAAAACCAGTCAACAACAGTATTGGGAAAGGCCATGTGTCAGTTGCAGGCGACATTTTCTTCCAAATAACAAGCAGTCTGACAAACACACTAAATATGCTTCATAGTTAATACAGTTTATGTGGATTAGAAAGGAATTAAATGGACTGCCAATATGATTTACATGCGAGTTACTTGAGAGTAAAACTGTGTATGTGCTTAAAAAAATGATCTTTTATGTTTTACTGTTAATAGACTAGAAATGATTCACAAGCCATGTCAATTGTCCATAAAGTTTTAATGAAAAAAAAAACAGCAATGTACCCATTTAACAACAAAAGAAATTAAGAGAAATTGTAAGATTTCGAGAGCCAAGCTCTTATGTACAGCATATTGCACTAGAAAAAAGAACAAACATCCCCGGTCCTCCTCCAGTCCCTCCATCGCTCCATGTCTTGCGCTGTTTGAAAACTGTGCAACCGACACAGAGCAGTCCCAAAGATAACACAGCCAATGCTTTAACAAAAAACTGCTACATCTGGACTGGGTCTCACTTCATACGACACATGAATGTGAAATCCTTGAGACCACTCTGAACGTAAAGAAAGCAATGTGAAGACAATACAAACTCCCTGCGCACAGGGCACACGGGAGTCTGAAATCAGTTCCACTGTTCAGTTCATGTATTAAAAGAGATATTGTGGTTTTCACTCCATTAAATTACATTCAAACCTTTAAGATACAGATTATTTTTTTTCAGGAATGTTGGACATGCATTTTTACTCCATTTACATATATTGAAAAAGCCCTTGAACTGAGAGTGACACAGCAGACTTGGCAATATCCAAAACTAAAAATGCCACAACATTGAAAAAAAAGCCATTATAGAAAAGCAAAAAAGTCATGTTGTTGTAGTTCTTTCTCCGTCTTCTTACAAAAAAGGTATGGAAAAATTTAGCTAAAAACTTTTCATAAAGATAGCAACAATAGCTGTGTCAAATTTATGTCTTATGTATAAAAACACCTAATCACAGCACTTGACAGTAAAGATGCACTCTTTCTTGGATATTCAAAAAACCGATCGAAGAAATTTGATATTAAAGACACTGAAGGTTGAACATATAACAAATGTTTCATTTGAGTTAGGGTTGCGACAGTGGCTAGTAATGACAGGCTCAGATCAACACCACATTCACTGAGTGGCTGTTCAACCCATCTCACATACAAATAATACTGGGCACCATGGTGGCTCATTCCTCCTTCAAATGTAAACCCACAGCCCTACTAGATTGTAGAAAATAAAGCACAAAAACCCAGACGCGCTGGGCCGATCCAGCATATTACAGATCTTAAAAAGTTTCAAGAATCTAGAGGGGAAGTTCAGCACAGGAGTAGAAAGAGAGAGGCGCAAAAAACAGTATACAGCTAAAAAATTGTTTCTTTTTTTTTTTTTTCTTTTTTTTTTTACAGTGCACATTGACTGCAAACAGACGTTTCTGATATTGACAAGGATTTGCGTGGTGAAATTTGCCGTCCGTGCTGAGAGATGTCAAAGGTTGAGCCTGTGCCTCGTGAGCTGATGTGAGGAATCAAACTGATTTTTATTTTGTATCAAGGCACAACAAACACGCTGTACTGTGTGTGCCAACCCTACTGTATCAGAGTACGTTGATCTCACAGAGCCCAAGTGAAACAAGCAGCTGTGACCAGTGACTTTGGATAATTATGCCAAGTGTTGATGATGATGATAGTGTGGCAGGTCTGTTACTCACAAGGCACATTTTGTACATTTTGATTGTCTGTTGTTCACGTGATTTGTAAAGACTCACAGCATTCGTGTGAGAACGCACGAGGCACATGGCTTTAGTCCAACCTCCCCACACACTGGCATCAAACACACAACTGAATGCACGTCAACAATGAGAAGAAAAGGACTGTACACACTGAGATAGCATCTATACAGTAGCACTGAGCAAATATACACAAAATAAATTAGAATAAATTATCTCAAAGAAACTAAACAAAATGTTCTCAGTAAGGACAGGGAGTAGTTAAACGTGACGTTGAATGAACAGAGGAGAGTGCAAGTATGAAGCTTTGGACTGAAGAGCAGAGAGTGCGTCATAATTGGTGTGAATTGGCTCAGCGTTCAGTGTTTGCAGGAAACAAACTTTTGGTTCAGCTACTCACGTAGTTAAAGAAGAAAAAACTCCAAACAATCTGTAACACACTTCCATGTTGATGTTGAGGGAAATGCTTTGGAAAATGTAAAAAGTAAAATGAAACGTCTTGTTCAGCGCCGTCTACCACCTGAACAATGAACGGCTAAAAGCATGGATGGGGGTCCGCACTCAACGGCAGATTTTTAGCGAACACATCTCATAATAAGCATCAGTTAATTAACATGGTTATTAACTACTCCCTGAAGAAAACATAAAGCAGAAAAAAACCCATCAGTGTCTTCAAAAGTTCATATCATGAATCTACAACAGACTGAAATAATACATCAAATGAGGAATTTTTAACATCTTATTTAAAGTCTTTAAAGACTTTTTCCTTGATAAACCTTACATTGAGAAACAGTGGCTGTGTCATTGCAAAATGCTAACGTAGCAGTTGTCACACAAGGATGTATAAACTTTCTCCTATAGGCAGATGTGTCTGTGTGTTCGTGAAACGGTTTTTGAACTGTACAGAAGCTGTTTTTACTAAGTTCTCAGTGAAGCTTGATTTACAACTGGCGGTTTTGTGAAAGAAAGCACTTGAATAAGAGGTTAAACTTGGGATATCTCATATGTGTATTAGCACATCAGGTTTGAATCAGTGCTTGAGACATTTACACCTGGAGTGAAACAAAATGAAAAAGCATCTGTAACTTGAACCCAAAATGTGTATGTGACAACGATATTTGTAAAGAGGCATATTTCACTGACAACACAGCCATATTTTGGGAAAAGTCCTTCTATGGATGTCAGTTTGATTGCAAAATGCAGCTGATCCCTAAGATTTTTCTTCCTTCCACTGGCTTGAATATTGCTCGCCCCTAAAAATGTCGATAAATGTCATCTCTCTCACAGGTGACCCACAATGCAGCAGAGGGCAAAATTGCGATTGTCAATCCAGCCAGAGAAAGAAATCCTGAAACGCTTTAGAAAAGGATGAAATTTATCCAAAGCCTTTCAGCTGTCTGATTGTTTCCAGTTCCCTGATTGTAATCTCACAAAGGAGATTTGTTTGACTTTGTGCTTATTTGGTTTCACAATTACTGCACATTTTGGAAACAGTAAGCACACACTCCTACAAACAAATGATCACAAATTGAAAGAGTAATCACAATAACAATGTCAGATCTTGAAATCTTCAGTACACCTAAATTCAAGTATACATGCGTTTATCCTTTCAATCAACAAGATCTGAGTCTACACAGTGGGTCGTTAGGCCACTTCTAATAACATGAGTGGTACTGGAGATGGACAGGCTGATGGATGACACCAGGAAATAGACACAGGTTGACATAATGTCCCTAGGTCTACAGTGGAAGCTGATAAAACACGTATCTAAACTGACCAACAGTGCAACACCAGTGTGTAACACTGCCACAATGTCAGGACAACCATTTTCTAATTAGCCAGTGTGGAACAGTAAAAGGTAAGTACAGGGCTTATTGTTTTTCTGAGAATAAATTAGAAATGTGCCTCGAGTCCTCAAGGTTTTAAGTCAGTAACTTCAGCACAGAAATGTCCATGTCCACAGTGTTGCGCCAAAAAAGTGGCCTAATCTTAAAAATGTATCTCTTTCATATGATATCCTTGATGCAAAAGAGTAAGTACTGTGGCAGGAGAGAATAAGGCATTCCCTGGACTGATGGAGGTCCTTCAAGACTTGAATTACCAAATAAAAAGAGCAGTTTACTGTACAAAATAGGTAATCTTACAAATATTTCGAAAATATCTCTTCAAACACAATGGCTTCTTCTTGGAGAGGCGGGAAAAAAATGACAAAAGAAAAAAAAAAGAAAAAAAAATTGTATTCAGTCTCCGTCCAGCGGTGACCAGTGTTTTCTTCATCTCATCTTCATTTTCAATTAGAAAACAAAATCCAAACCCGTGTTCCATCTTACAGTGCCATCTCTAAAAGTCTGGTCCCTTGTTTCTTCTGAGGGAAAACAAGGGCCGAGGCAAGGGCCAGCAGGAAGTCCCTTCATCTCTGCTCTCCTCTCAGGCGGGGGACGAGAGCCTGTCTTGGAAACAGAAAGCCAAACAGGGCCATCGTAAGGCGCATCCAGGCAGGCAGGTTTTGTCTCTGGTGCCTCATGAACTACAAGGACACAGAAAAAAAAGGGTTATTAGCATCAAGCAGGGCTAGATGTTCAAAACTTAAACAGGTTAATCACTATGCTCATCAGGCATTCATCAGTAACACTATTCGAAGTCTAATTTCGTCATGACAGGTTTTTTAGGTAAAGCCTTGTGAACTGTGGTAAACCCTGTGAGCTAAAACGATATGACCAAGAAGACTGAATGTTTCCACAACATTAGGCTGTGTCTAGCAAACATGTCTGTCACATGCATATCCTGCATGAAACTTCGGCAGAATCTACAGTATCGGTGCAGGGGCTCTCATGCCCAGACACAACATAAATGTAATGTACTTGCTCATTTAGATGTTTCCTTGACTCAAGAAGCTGATGAAAGAATGAAAAGGACCAGGCTAACAACTGTAAAACAAGACATGTTTAACCCACAGGAGCTGCCACTTATTTTAATAATATCACTCTATCCTCCTCCCTCACGTTTGAGACAGTCCCTTATTAAATGTTGCACTGTTGACTTCTCAACGAGAAGCTCAAAGTGAAATGCTTTCAGAGGACATGCTTCCTATTTCATCACAGCTCTCTTGTAGCAGCAAAGTCAGCTGAGTAATTACCAAAACAAAGCAAAGGAAACTGAAATTTCTCCCACCCATGGAGCTGCCTTGTCTGTCATTTTCTATTGGGGTGTGTAGCCCTTGTGGACTACAGACAGATGAAGGGATTCCTGCTGCATCCTGCAATCTCCTCTCTCCCCCTCCTCATCTCTGATGCCACACAGCTCCCACTGGCTTTCTGAACAGTTGCACTGAGATATTGCAGCCTGTTGCATAAGCATTCTTGTTACAATCTCTCTCTCTCTCTCTCTGTCTCTTCCTGCTCTCTCCATCAAGGTCTCTACCAGCCTAGCAATCAGAGTCTGCCACAGGCTATTTGATGCAGAACTAGCAGACTGAACTGAATTGAACCAGCACCACTAAATGTAACCCTAATTGTCCTTAATTACCTTAATTCTACACTGCTGAGCTTATTTAAACAGCACCCTGGTTTGTTCCACATGAGGCTCATCTTTCTACTCTCACTTGCGTAGGTAGTGGAGAATGGCTTGTGTTTTGTTTGCCGTTTTTAGATGAATGCATCCTAAACAATTATGAAAACAGACAATGTGAATTTTTTGCTGTTCCACTTAATGTTAGGAGGGGCTAACTTTTCCCCCCCTGATATAAAGCATTAACATTTTATTGCTCACAAAGGTAGTCAAAACTGACGCTTACGACTCAAACCACAAACACAATGTGCTCCACATAAACAAAAACCCACACATTAGCCCACACCAGCAACTTCTGCTTGGAGAAACGAGTGAAACGGTCTAACAATAGCAGCAGAGAGCGTACAGAGAAGTGATTGGATATCATGAAGGATCACTTGTGATTATTCTCCCTTTGGAATATTCCTACAACAGCAGTATCAGATCCTGCAGGATAAAACCAACTCGAGCGCAGACAGCGGGCAAAAAAAAAAAAAAAGAAAAAAGAAAAAAAAAGAAAAAATTCTCTCTTATCTCTGTCACAGAGTTACACACACAAACCAAAACACACACAAAGACACACACACAGAGGCAGTCAGTGGGACAACTGAGGTATTGTGGGTAGCCGTCATGTTACTGGCTGCGTCTATAAGTGTGTGAGTCAGACTCTATTTTTAGACAAGCATATAAACAGCCGGCCAAGTCTACCCAGACACAGACATGCTGCTCGCTCCTGTTCGTGACAGTCACATCGATCCCACCTGCTCTTCCTCAATCTTTCTAAAATCTCAAACCATATATCCCTTTTTTTAATGTCTTTCTCTCACTCTTTATTTCTGTCTTCCTTTTTTCTCTTTTTTGTTGACTCTGTTGACCACAGTTTCATGTTTTTAAAAACTTATCAACCACACCTTGTTGTCAACACAGACCCCTCGGCAAAACAGTCGCAGCAGCAGATAAGAAACTTGATACCCCTCCCAGTGTGTTTGTACTTATTAACTAAGTCCATGATCACGTGACCAATGTGGATTCTTAAGTCGGACCAGTAAGTGCTTTTTAAACACTGATGCAAGTTGCAATCTGACCTGTTATCAATCCCACTGTGATGCCAAACACGTTGTGGGCTTTGTCGTGATCCAGGTATGGCTGAGATAGTATAAGTCTATGGATATCTGTAAGATTCTGACATAATTCCTGCCATGTTTCCATGTGGATTTTATTTCTTGACATGCACAATTAACTGCACATCATGAACTACACAGGGTATGCGTGCTTAACTACTCCCTCGGGAGCCTTGCAAACAGTGAACCTCCACGCTCAATTCCCTTCATCATCCCTAAAGCCTTCACAAGTCCCAAATTGCTTCATGCTTCATGTGCTATGTTGAGTATAAGGAATTCATTTGAGGGGGAAAAAAAGTCTGTCTACTTTCAGGTAAAGGAACAAACTGACTTTTAAACTTTTAAATTGAAAAGTGAAGACAAAGGAATAAAGGGGTCCTGGTCATAAACAGGCTGAGTGTCGTTGCTTCTGCTCTATCCAAAAACACTGGGAGAATTCAAACACATGGCATGAATTTCACTCCTTTGTTTTCTTTCTTTCTTCCTCCTGACTGTAATGACAAGGTATCAGTGCTACAGTGACAAAGAAAATTGGCAGCATAGTCTCTAACCCTCCACCCAGACTGAGGTACTGTTTCAGTGTTTTACAATAAAAAAATGACCCTGACCACAATGAGTTAATATCTGGATATTGACAGTGAGAAAATCTGCTCCTGAGACATTCTCCTATGTCTCCTATGTTACTAAATCATGCCTTACTAGTGATTTAGGATTTATCCTTCAGTGTGGCCAAAAAAGTGGTTGAATCACTGCACAGGCTATTTTTATCCAGTGCGGGGTGGTGGCCAATCCAGATGGCAAAATGCGCCTTTCTTCCCAAGAGTGAGCCACAAATTGGCACAAAGTAGCTTTGATTCATGTCTCTAATCAAGTAAAAGCTGACACACATACATAGTTCACATGTAACACACAAACACAAACTTTTTATCTGAAAAATATATAGTGTCTAAAATTACAGTCTGACTCCTAGTTGCACATTAGACCCAGTGTCCCTTGCTACCTTTTATCTGTGATATGCAGATAATAGAGAAATGAGTTAATAGGTTAGGTAATATCCATTTTGTCTTTGAAGCGATGTAAGTCCTCTTGTGTACATGATGTTTACACTTTGACACTTAAAAGTGCATACAAGCTTAAAAGATGGTTGTTTGAGGTAATGTATGGTAATGTCATTGAAGGTTCCTCTTCACGGCTTTGGGAGTGAGGCTTACCAGTTCAACATGATCCTGTTGGAACTTGTCTCCAATCTCCCGAAGTTTACGGCCAATTTGCGCCTCGACGCTCACCCCTGCCTGCTCCTCGGGCCTCTCTGCCATCCTGTCATCTTCCTCCCCTCTGCCCTCTTCCTCCTCCTCTTCAATCTGCCTCTCTCCCCGGTCCTCCATAGGCTCAAACTGAGCGGGGAAATGTGAGCGTAATCCAGCGTTGCCTAAAAGGAAAACATCAAGCTTCTTAAAACTTGTGTTGTTGTCGGATCTTTAAAATGCTCAGACGTTGTAGTTCTTGGCAGTGCCAAAATGAATACAAGGCAAAGAGACATCACTGATATCAGCAGTATTTGATATAAGTAGATTTCAGTTCAGTAAAAGCACTAATGTTTTCCTTTTTGATCTTAAGACCAGACAGTGAACACACTGCAGACGGTTAAGATAAGACAAATGATCTATTAATGGCCTCAAACACTGCTGTGTCTGGCCAGGTTAGTCAAATATACAGTATCTAATTTACCTCAGATCTTCTCGTGGACAAATTACAAGGTAGACACTCAAAGTACAACTGAAGATTCCACAAACAAGAAAGAGAGAGAGTGTTGGTAGGCGGAAATCTCAAACACCTTATTAAATGAACAACAGCCTCAGTGAACTGCCGCCTTTCTGTGGGCTGTATCACTGAGTTTACTCATTGCCTCTAGCATGCACTTCTGCAGTCATGCCACTTGGAGGGAAAACAATTGTTTTTATGTGTTATCATTTGTGCAGAATGCCTCACAGAGGAACGTAATATGTCTAAGAAAGTGAGCGGCCTGGGCCGTGTTTGGGAGAAAAAATGGCACCAAGCCAAGCTCATGACATCCATTAGTGGTTAGATTACAATGAATGACAAGGGTAATACCAGTCAGTGGTGCTTATGTATTGATAATTTTAAACCCAGAACAACATGTACCTCTCACACACTGACACTGAGTCAACAAACAAACAACCTTCTACTTCAACATTCATTCAATTCAATTAGTGTGATGTCACACTGATTTGATTAGACATGGGAAAACAATATTGGATTAAAATAGATGGACATATTAGTGTGGGTATGTACCTTTATGTATGCATGAAATTATTGTTGATGTTGTTGTTGTTTTCATTTTTTGAAGAATTGTGAATTTAAAACATAAAACAATAAAATGGCAGGAATTTGAGGATTATATAGCAAATTAACTATGACATATTCATAAATAATTATGTAATATGAGAAATGTACTACTACAGAGAAATTAAACAGTTTCTTTGAATGGCATTTTTAAAGTTCTTAGCATGTATATTATACTATAACGGAATCTCTCAGTTACAAGGAAAATTAATCTAGGCTTGTCTGCTTTACAGTAATAATGAATAAATAAGTGGCATTTAGTTTGTCTAATAGCTCAAGAAAAAAAGGAAACAACAATCTCCTGCTCTCATACCATCTGAAAATGATCAAATCAGAGAGAGATACATTCTCTGAGAATCTTAACATATTCATTTTGGTACTGGGGGACAGTTCCCAATGAGGAACCCACCAAACAAAAAGAATGACTAATAGTGTGAGGTTACACTGTGTGTGCATCATTCAGTGGCATACACAATCTGTAGGCTCAGAACACTTCAAAATATCTCATCCCTCCTTACCGTGAAAGGGTATGCGAGGCTGCCAGTGCAGGCTGCAGGGCAGCGTGTTGACGCTGATGCTGTTGTTGTTGTGACTTTGCGACGTGGGCACAGCAGCGGTGACGGCAGTAAGGGCCTGTCCGGCTGCAATCGGTGTGGCTCGGTCTTCGTATTTGACGTCCCTAAAGGACGTTCCCCAGAGGTGCGAGATGGGCTGTGACATGTCCTCCTCCTCATCATCCATCCGACGCCTCAGCGGTAAACTCCCTGGAGAGAAGAAGGGGACATGAGATAAAAAACTTTAGATTGAGATAACAAAGATGAAGTATGTGTGTTTGAAAGTGTTTTGGTAGTGCACATACTGTGCCTCACTCATACCTATGTGTTTATGATCTTTGACTCGCAGATAATTTGGGTGTGATTTGTTTAAAGACCAAACAAAAAATGCCAAATATCATTATGTTTTTAGTGGAAACTGCCCTCTAGCAGATGGAAAATTATCTAAGCCTGTTTACATTAAATGGAAAGAAATCATTAGTCATTATAATACCCACTAAGAGGCTTATGTTGTGTGAGGTAATACTGAAAACAAACAGAGATGAATCATCTCAGAGGCACAGATGGATCTAGTAATGTAAATCCATATGCACAGAAAGGCAAGAAACATACAAGAGGCCAGATGTACAGCCATCATCTCTTTTTTTAACACAGCGATGAGTAGCAACAGGAGCCACACGTATGGAAACACCCTGTGTAGGGGGACCCAGTGGGCGGCTAAAAATGCTACGCCAGATTTGCCACCCTCCTGCAGCTGATTTTGCCAAGCTGTTCTTGACTATGTGCCAAATTGTAATTGAGTGCCAAAAGATACACGAAGATGCTTTTTTTTTCCTTCAGAATTACCTTAACAGTGTGCCACAGGGCAGAGCACAGTCAGAGGATTAGGTACCTCCTGCACAATTCTGCTGCTCAACATTAAGACCTATGCTCACTGTTTCCTGTCTCTCAAACACACACTGGATAGTTGCCTGTCTACTCTATCAACACACACACTCAGCAGCAGGTGGTGCATGAGTGAAACCTCAGTGAAACCAAAGTTCTGGCTAGACTGTCATGTGCTGTACGCAGCAGCCGTTTCATGAGGGAGATAACGAGTTTCACTCCATCCTCAACTGTGCCTGCTGAGAGCAAACACTCACACTCTCTTCCTTGTTGGCCACATGCCACAATCTGAACTACTGTTTCATCTTTTTGTCAAGGGTGCCTGTCTTTTCCTTTTGTTGTGCAAGTGGAGACAAATGGGCTGGGTTGACTGGCAAATGCAAAAAGTTGAAACTGGATACACTGGTATTGTGTTTGCTGAGTGAGGCAGCCGGTTGTATATCTCTTTGTGAAACTGTCCCTTTGCATGATGTCATATCATATGGAGTCAAAGGAGGAAACTGTGGAAAAACACTGTTTAGCCAGGCCACGTCACTTACGTAATATGTATGTCTTTAAATCAGATTGTATATTTATTGGTAAACCAAAATTTAATTATTGACTCCCACATCCTCTGGCCTCCAATATTTCCAGGGCAATGAAATTGGTCCATTTTGTCAGTGAACACTAAGTAATTGTGCATTACTAAAATTCAGCACAGCCCGAGATTGTATTAACCTCTCCTCATGGCAAGTTAAGCAGTGCTTAATTAATGGTATCCAAGCAGAAGGGGCATCTCTGTAACTGTGCAGCAAGTTTCACTGAGATCAAATGTGAACTTGTGTTGTGTGTCAATGACAATGTGAGCCCTGTCTTGAATTTCCACTGACAGACAACAGAGGACTGGTGGGTTTACCATAGTGTCAGACACAAGAAAAAAACAAACATAGACAGGGAGACAGACAGAAAGACAGCACACACTTACACACACTGCCTGGGGCTTCAGAGAGGCCTGGCAGCTACCACAGTGCTGGTCAGAGGCTGAGAGCTGGAGCAGAAAGTGGCTCCCTCTGCTGTACCATCTGTGCACCAGGCTCCCCTCCACCCACAGCTCGGGCTGGGGGTGCACACAAGGTGAGCTCTGCTGCGATTTCACCTACTGTCTTCATGTAACTAGCAATACATGTCCTGTGGATATCAGTGTGCAAGTGACATGCTCCAATAAAGCCATGAACCCTACTGTACCAATCCCTGAAAAAGGACAAGAGCCAATTCAGCTAAATGGTAAATTTGTACAGTGAATGATGTTTTTGTTATAGAACTATTGTAACTGAACAAACACAATAATAACTTACTGGTATTTAAATTAGATTGTTTCAAATTGATCATATGTGGGCTCCGGACGACCACCGGAGATGTGCTGTGTCTTTATCCGCATCAGGAGGACACTGCCCTGGGCAGCTCAGTGCGTAAACACGCCAGGACTGACCGCTCTTCACTGTAGACACAAAATCCACAAACGGGCAGCCTTCGCGGCTTCTACTGAAGAAACGTGTCCAAACACGATGCTGACAAGCTATTCAACAATAACAACATCCTAAACTAAAGTTGAGAATTTAAACTTAGTCGTTTTCTCTCTCACAGCTTTTTTCACGCTTAAAATGAGGCGATACAACTTGAACCTGGGCAATGGCTCATTTTTACTCGTGATGGCGACAACAAACAAACCAGTACTATTGCAGAAATATTTCGGACAGTTTTATAACTGTTACTCGCTTGGCTCCCATTATCCTCTGACACTTTCTCTTCACTTCGCCTGACAACTCTTCCCCAAAACAAACACCTCTGAGATCAGAAGCCGATATGTTTACTCACTCGAAGCAGATATTAGCTACTAATGCGTAAAATAAACAGAGGACACGCCATTTTACTGTGGTCTTCAACTGTGCTAATCAGTTGTAATATTGTGTACTGATAAAAACTACAAACCGACGATGTGTCTCAAAGTCTGGGAAAACATCTGCCGGGATGTCGAGAATCCACGCGCTGGAAGTGATGAAATGAACCTGTCACTTATTCACTTCATCCGTTGAAATTAAAGACGAAAATCTCATTGATACGAAGAACAGGACAGAAATACAGAAGCATTATAAATGCTCTCTGCCATATGCGACCAGTCTGGTAGGTCCGCTCATCCAGTCTCTGCCCGGGCATGACCAAGCTCCCCGCACATTTGTTGACAAACTCCCACAAACAGCCAAAGCGCGCGACGGTGCACTGAGATTTAAAATTTTTTGGAAGACGACCGTTACACTCACCGCCAGCAAACGCGCTTTCCGTTGTGATCGGTGGTATCTTGACAACCTGCTGGTACCTTGTTTCCTACGGTTTGTGGTGATGCTACTTGTATCCGTCCTTGCATTACAGCCACTCATGGATGTTTGCTGAGAGGAGTGAGGTTGTTTTTTTCCCCGTGTCAAAACGGTCCGCCCTCATGCCTGGGATCCGCCCCTTAATAACGTGAAAGGAACAGAGTCAGCTACACAGTTGTTATGCAAATACAGCACACAGTAAGGATCAAAATGCAGCTATTTCTATAAAAAAAACATCTTACATTTGCATTTTAGCAAATAGGACGTGATCGAGGGAGGATTCAGGTCATTTACTTAAATAAAATTGGTAATATTTCACCGTAAAAATCCTCCTTTACCAGTAGAATTCATGTAATGTTACTTCAGTAATAGTAAATGAATAGTAACATTCACTCAATGCAGAAAGATGACTACTGTGAGTCTCACACTATTTTATTGTATCATTGGATTGTTTTGTGATCATGTGTTTGTGGCACTTTACTGTTAAAAGCTGACTATAGGTGGTGCTAATTTTAAATACATTTAATGTTGGGTATTTTAATCTATAACAATGCATCATATCAGCTCATTTTATGTTTTGTATGAAAAATCTTAATTTGGAGTGGCCTCACTATACCTGACATGTAAGAAGTACAATATTTCCTCCTGAATTCCAATTAGCATATTAAAGTGAGATATGGAAATACTCAACTAAAATCCAAGTACCTTAAATTTGTACTTAATGTACTAATAAATTTACTGAGTTACAACTACCCCGGTGCAAATAAGTTGATGTCCTCTTTTGCTAAATGTATCCATCATTTAAAACAAATACATATATAGCCTATATATGCTGCTACTGCTGGAGATCTATACTGGTGTCTGCATGAGATGTTGAGCTGATGCTGTATTGTTGTTGAGGTGGGAAAAAATATTATGCCTGGCCCTTTAAGAGAACAGTCCTCCTCGCTACCATAAGCTGGTGACATGCAGCGGACCAATCAGATGGTTTGTTTTGGTCCCGCCTTCTGCTTCGTGTATCTTGACACGTGGAGGGGAAAAAACACAAACCCAGATCTGACATGTGACTGCTTTCAGCGCTCAGCTCAGCTGATTGGGAGCTGCTGCTAGATAGAGTGATAGCACCCACCCAATTGCTGGAGTCGTTGTGATGATGATAGGTGTACTGTCAAGGCAACAAACAGGTTCACAAATTCAATGGTCACACATGCATGTCAGTGAAACCGATTAGCAAATTTAAATGAACTCACAAATCGTGTCTTATTACATAGAATGATACTCTCTGTTTGTCTAAACATGTATCATGCAAACATCATAACATAACATAACATAACATAACATAACATAACATAACATAACATAACATAACATAACATAACCAGTGGTGAAGCGTAACTGTACATACTGTAGTGCAGTTATGAGTCACATGACTATCATGTGAGGCTACTAAATACTTCTACTTTACTACATTTAAGAGACAAATATTCATCTTTTTACCTCACTACATTTACATTACAGCTTTCTACCAGTAACACTGCAGATTATGATTTTGCATACAAAACCTGTTTGTGGTCAACTTATAAAATACAATACATTGTTACAGTTGAAATTACCAGCATCTACACATAACACAATACTTTCAAGTATTGTATTACTGACAACAGTAATAATGCAAAAATGTAATAAACTATGCAGAAGGGCCTTTCCCTCTGCATAAGGGGTGATTTAACTTTTGATACTTTTATGTACATTTTGCTGTAAATAGAGCTCTACTATTACTTAAGTGACATGACATGACATGACATGACATGACATGACACGACACGACACAACATAACATAACATAACATAACATAACATAACATAACATAACATAACATAACATAACATGGTAGGATGTCCTTAAATGCATCCTGGCTTGACAATGGCTTGACAACAATGTATTGATATGAGCATTGAGCCATTTTCAGTTCAGCCCCTTAGGGCATCCATTGTTGGACATGGTATCCTCTTCTGATGGATCTACAGTGACAGTGGAATAAACAGCAGCCATGGCTGGTGACCCTCACAGGGTGCAGGGTGGGGGCACGCCTACGCATGGCATCACTCAAAAGAGGAAGAAAAAAAGTACAGTGAAACGAAGCCTGATCTGTAAAAATGGGTTATTGAGTGCAAAACAGCCAGGCAAGAAGAGTGAGACTATTTGATCCATGGTGTGAGTCAGATTTTTCCCAAGAGACAATTTCTGGATGAAAGCAGATGCTGTTGCGTGGAGCATTGGTCAGACCGTGCAGGATGTTAGGATGTTATGTTTTCACACTGTCCCACTCCTTTGTTGTACAGCTGGTAATGTGTGAAGTGTGATTTTCTCAAGTTTCCACAAAATTCCCATGCACAGTTTATTGGCAGACTGGCAAACAACCCCTGCTCTGCCTTGTTTAAGCTGCTGCTTGACGGCTCCCAACCCCCCATCCACACCAACCCCCTCCAACTCCAATCCTGCAGCGAAAAGGACCCCACCCAAAATTTGGAAGAAGAGATCAGATGGTGGTTGTTTTTGCTCGCTCTCTATTACTCCCTCTCTCTGTATGTGTTTGTATTTGGGGGAGGTTATGCTGTAAACCTCAATAAAGCTCATCAGTGGTCAATCAATGAACATTGAAGCAGATTGTATGGATAGGAAGAGAAAAAAATAAAAGCATGTTTCAGTTACTTTGCTCTAAAGAAGCCCTCTCCTTTACTCGGTGCAGCTTGACTGCAGCCACATAAATTAAATCTTCTCATCCTAACAAGTGTTAAACTCCTATACCATTGAAGCTGCATTATGCAAAATAGGCTTACTGACTGGTTGCTAATGCAAGTATTGCTACTTCTTCAGCTACATTTTTGACCCAATGATACTGAACCTGAGGTTGTGTTTGTATTTCATAGACGCAACATGAAGAGTCAGGGAGGTGCCAAGAGCAATGTACTAAGTCATTTAGATTAACCTAAGTTTCATTTGGGCGGTGAACTATACTATTTTGTCTGTTGTTGACTGATGTTTTGATATTTATGATTTGAAGGACACTGCTGTGTTACGCGAATAATTACTAATAAATACCTCAACATGAAAGCACCTTTTGTAGAATATAAAGGGAGAACGAAAAAAAAACCCACGGGAATTTAAAAGCGAAAAACATCAGTTTTGCAACAGTTTGATGTGGTTTTCAGGCATTTAAAGCTACTTTTCAGAGGTGGAACCTTTCAAAAGTTAATTAGTCCACTGTGTGCTGCTTTTGGAAAAACAAAGAAATGAAAAAAATTGAATTGCCCATAAGTATTTCATTGCTTTTTTTCTCCCCCAAGTTCCCTTTATCAATAACTAATTAGTGTTCCCAAACAATAGCTCCAAGAATAGTACATTTCAATCACAGTCAGTTATCTCATTGCCAATAGACTCTGTGGTGTACTGTAGCTTTTCATCAGTTAAACTGCAGTTTGGTGAAGCCTTGTTGTCTTTCTGAACACAAAGCTGTTAACCATATTTGTGTTGCACATCAGATTTTTTTCTGTTTTGGTGGAGAACATAACATGATGTGCTGTCAATGCCAGACATTCACAAACACAAACGCCATGCATTGTGCAATCTCATCCACTGTTTTAAGTCATTTGCCGTCTTTTACTTTCAAGTGCACAGCTTCAACCCCTTTGAAGAGGGAAAACAGCCTTTGTGTTGGCGCTGAACTCAGAACTTGTCATCTAAACTGAAACTTCCAGTACCTCTAATGTGTCAGGTGCAGTGGCAGACAATGTGTCCCAGCCCATTTTTATCTGAGCAATTTTCCCCAGTGAGGCAGTTACAAATTCTCCACAGTGAGTTATTTCTGACTACATGCTGCCAGCAGAGGTGATAAGGCTCTGGATGTTGAAATTTTTCAAAGATCACTGCATAATGATACAATTTGCTTTGTGGCGTTTTCCCTAATGGTGCCAGACGTCCAGACGCTTTGTCTTCAATCTTCAATTCGTTCCACACCCAAACAGCTCCATCAGTGTTTGTGCTCGTGCTGCATTTCACTTTCACATCACAATTTTATGGTTTCTATCGCCCTGCCATTTAATTATGTACCTAAATCCCTGTTTTAGGAGTCTGTTTCTCACAAAAATTGATTGTGAAATTACGTGACAGAGATGCCAAGTTTTCACAGGTTATTGGAAACCTCTGTCCGCCTCCACCCCTCCTCCTGCCAGTTCTGTCAACACCTCTTGATTTTAACCACAGGTACAGTGGGGGCTCAGCCAATGAATGCGGCTCTCCCAGAGTTCATCCAAAGGTAACACATTTGAAGCCCAGAACCACCCGGGGGAAACACATCCCTACGATTATGCGTATTTTGACACCACTTTAATGCCATGAATTAAATGAAATCCTATACAGAAATAATACCGAGCACATTTTGGATGAAGTGTTGTATGGTAATGAATGTGTTATTATACTGTGTCTTTCAGTTTGTCTTCACATGTTTCCAGCTGTGATGGCAAGTTGCAGTAAATGAACACTTAATGATTACTGAGCAGCAGCAGCAGCTCAGGTGGTAAACAAACCATTTGTCAGGCAGACTGGCAGCCTGATGACACCTGTGCAACATCCAAAACAACTCCTAGATCCAATTTGCAGGTGTCCTTCCACCGGTGTATAGCCACAGACTATTGTTGTCACATTGTTATTGTTGGGTATGCTGTTGGCTGTCTCTTATATTGAAATCCAGAGAGATTTTACTCATCATTTGTTGTGATTTAATTCTATCATATAACAACATACACATTATACACACCCATTTACCTGGGAGTAGTGAGTCAAAGGCAACCAGACTTGTTTGGTCATGAAAACAACTTGCTACTTATCCAATAGGAACATCACCAGGTCATCAGTCACAACTGAACAGGAAGTCCAGCTGCGTTTGACTCATTATTCTGAGATAGATGACTAAGATTGTTCATAGACATACTCTTCACTTACTCCAAATGACCTGAGAAACTATTAAAAAAAAGAAGCTGTGATGTTGCATGT